TCTATTGTTATCTGTCTGTATTATTATTATTATTATTATTATCTTATTATTTAGGCAAATGAAGTTATTATAAATAAATAAATAAATAAATAAAAATGTACAGCATGGTTTTAGAGCCAAACGATCAACTGTTACTCAGTTGATAACAATCGTTCACGACCTAGCACAGACCATACAAGACAATAAATCTGTTCACGCTGCCATACTTGACTTTAGCAAAGCTTTTGACAAAGTACCGCATCAGCGTCTCCTTCATAAACTCGAGTACTAAGGTATCCGAGAGAATTTACTCAAGTGGTTTGAGTCATTCCTAACAGGACGCACCCAGTCAGTAATTTGTGATGGAAGTCGATCTAATCCCCTCATAGTGTCATCTGGTGCCCCACAGGGTACAGTGTTAGGCCCGTTATTATTTTTATTATACGTAAACGACTTGCCAGAGAACTTACAATCTTCTGTCAGACTTTTTGCTGACGACGCTCTCTTGTATGGCATCATTTCCAGAGAGGAAGATTGTAACAAACTCCAAGCTGATTTATTTGAACTGGAGTACTGGCAAGACAGATGGCAAATGAAGTTCAATCCAACTAAGTGTAAAATAATATGTATTTCTACTAAGAAGTCATCCCCTCTGAAGAAATACGTGTTTTGTGGATCCGAACTAGGGGAGGTTGACTCTACATCCTATCTAGGAGTCACTTTGACAAAGAACCTGAAGTGGTCCCAGCATGTTTCGTCCATCTCTGGAAAGGCGAGCAAAGTTCTAGGTTTAATTAGTTAAAAGAAACTTTTGGAACTGCCCACGACCAGTGAAGGTAACTACTTATACAACTTTGATTCACCCAAAATTGGAGTATGGTTGTGAGGCCTGGGATCTCTATTTTAAAAGGAAATTTCATCTCTGGAACGTGTGCAAATTAAAGCAGCACGGTTTTGTCTGGACAACCATCAACCTACAGCCAGTGTAACCGAGATGTTAAGCGACTTAGGATGGTCCAGCCTTGAAACAAGGAGAATAATAGCGAGATTAAATCTAATGTACAAAATATGCCATGGCAACGTCTACATTGACAAAAATAGTTATTTGTGCCCCTCTAAAATTTGCGAAGCCAGAACTCGTTCTAGTCATAATTACAAATTTTTGAATATAAAAGCCACAAAGAATGTATATTTTTAATCCTTCTTTCCACGCACCCTCAGGATATGGAACAAACTTGCGAGAGATATTTTTGAAAGCATCTCTTTAGAGCCTTTTAAAACTAAGATTTCTAAGTATTTTAACGAGAAACTTTAAACTGGTAGATATTATTTCTATTGTTGTTATTTTATACTTTTTGTATTTTTAACGACTTTACCGACGTATTTTAATGTAGATGTAGATGTAGATGTCCTACGAGAGATGCAGTACAGTTTTAAGAGTGGCTATCGATTGTGTACCAGATCCCTTTAGAGGACTCTATTAGAAACTTCGAAACGGTGCATTGTTCAAAGCCTAAAATCAAAAGTCGGACCCTTGTGCACAAACTCGTAGCACAAACTTGTGCACAAACTTGTAGTCAGGTAAAAAAATTTTTTTTTTTTTTTTTTGCATAAGAGTAAGCTATCGTCATCGGAACCTGCTTGACATTCTGAAACGTGAAAAGCTACTCCTCGACTCGGTGACAGCAATTACCCCGTCGTGGTTACGAATAATAACGACTTTGGAGTCAACTTAACTCTGTGAAAAATACACTGCGTGAAGTAGTACTTCAGGTTTTGCAGCGCTTCAGCTTCTTTAAAACCAGTTATCTCATTCGTCGATCGATTCGAAGCTCTAACACCCCCTGGGCAACCCCCGGGCAATTTAAACTTGTGAAGATTGGTTAATTCCAATTCCCAACCCCTTGGGACCAAGTAGTGTTCAAATGCCCCACCCAAGTGCCGGATTTGATGATCAATTTTTTTGCAAAAGGCAGGGTCGGCGACTGGCTTCCCCTCTCCCTTGCCAGGCAAGGTTCAAGTTCCCCACTTTCCGGGTACGGAAGACATTCAAATAGCCATGGGTTTCCGGGGGGGTGTTAAAGCGTCGAACTGATCATTACATCATGCGTCCGTAAGAAAACAGTTCTTACTATCGTAAACGGAAATTGTGCATATTAGAGCCCTTTTAGTCTAGGTCTGGGGAAAATTCAGAACGAAGGAGGTGCAACTTCTCCTTTATATGTGTTATCTGCAAGGGCTTGGGAAAAAATAATTCTGTCAATGCACTGTAACTTGCTGCATTCTAATCGGTAACCTCGCATTATTTGACTTTTCTACAAGATTTTTCCGGATGAGGATAGCCCCGAGAAGAAAAGGACTCCTGTCAGTAAAAGTGAACACAGTGGAAGTGATCATCAGAGTGAAACGAATTGACTAAGATTATAACTTCCTCTAGTCTACGTTTCCTAGACCCCAAATCGTAACACCTTAGGAACCTATAAAGAGCTATAAAATCGATAGGCTGAATTTTGAACTCTGTAATAATTAGTTTTAAGGCCCCTTCGGATTGTTTGCTTAGCTTTACCTTGTGACTGCTTAATACAATGTTTTTGGCACCAAACAGTTCTTTTCTGACAAAGCCTTGGGTCAGTACCGTGATTTTTCTTTGCCTCCATGTGAAATGTAAACAAAGTGTCAGAGGGTGAGACTTGATTGGTCAGTTGCTCCAGGAACAAGTGACTAAAGTATATCACAATGGTATAGCTGATGTGTGGACGTGAAACATGCAAACGTCTTCAAACTTTTTTCGTACACGTTTAGCTTTATCCCCGTAGCGTAGGCAAAAATAGATAAATAATAAAATAAATAAATAAACAGTTAATTAAACAGAAAAAAAAATTAAATATACTGCCAATTCTATGGAGATACGATTGTAAGTAAGATTCAACATCGACATGAATCTGAACGCTAACACATTTAGCTAACTTCCTGTAATTGTGATAGGAACAAGCCTAGAAAACATAAAAAGGTACCGTCATTACTATGGCCAACAGTGTCATAAGTGACTCGTGGCGAAAACCAATCACGACTCGCTCACCCGCGTATTCCCGCGCTTCAGACAGTTTGCCTGTTTCTACTTTAACTTTGACATCGGCCCTTTTTATAAGGTATTTTGTCTTTCTCTTGATCGGCCGTTGAGACTGTTTCTTTTTTCAGTTTTACGATACTCATTCGAAAGACATCCTAAGCGTATGGTAGAGTGACTGTATACTACACGCTCTTACCGTTAAAAATTGGATATTTTTGGCTACATGAGAGACATTCCTTGACTGTTTGCGCATGTAAAATCTCATCACTGTGTACTGACGATGATCAGGTGCTTTCCTATTTTCCAGTTCAATTCCACTAAGGGTCTCGCGGGGTACTCTGTGGCTCAGGGCTGGGTACATGACAGTTCTGCTTACACAAACTACTTCTCCCCAAAATACTTTTCCCAAAGTACTCAGAAATTTGTGATGGTCATTCTAGTTGAAGTTTGGTGGAGACAGCCTAAGGTTTTTTAACCTCGAGAATGATGTTTAATGAGACTCAGGTGTTCGAAGGATTGACTGCTTGGTTTTCTACAAGTGTACCTGCAAGTTTGAAGTCTCTGTGGGGTAGGTCACACTGTATGTTTATGAGTGATATGCAAGGCAAGTTGGCGGGTTTTTCGATTTTTTATCTTTGTTTACTTGGTTCCAGTGAAGAGTGGGGGACTTCTCAGGAAAGAGTTCAATGATGTAGACTACATTTTCAGTAGCAATGCCTCTGCCAAAGATACTTTAAGGTGCGTTTAACATCAAGGTTTGGAAAGATTTCCATATAACCCCATACATTAATTATGCATTCCATTTCATAAAGACTAAATATAAAGGTTTCTTTGCAACACTCTATGTATAATTAATGTATGGGGTTATATGGAAATCTTGCCCAAGGTTTCTTTGGAAACACTGAAATTTGACTTGCTCGTACTATGCTTGTCTTGTTCTAATTATCTAAGGCTCAACTTTTAGGATGAATCACCTGCAAATCTTTCTTCATTTTGCAGGATTTTTAATTCAAACAGTGATGAGTTAACCATTTTTAATTCTTCACTAATTGAGGATGCTGTTAAAAATGGCAAAAGTGTTTTAAGTGGAAAATACTCAGGGGCTTATATTCTCATTCATCCCGCATATCAGGAAGGTAATCATTTTCAGCTCTTTCTAGGAATATGTTTTAAGTACTAGTGTTTGACAAATTAACTAACAGTACAGCAACTTAATAGAACTTTATTGCCTATCTAGAAAGGGCTCTTATGTCAGATCATTTATCATTTATCATTTAAAAAGGAGATATTACCTTTTACTCCCAAGATCTCTTTATCCAGAAATTTTTCTTATTACATTGCTAGCAGCACCCATGCCTGGGTAATTAGTATTTATAATGATCATTGATATATTTGTGTTATAATTTTCTCACTACACAATGGAATAAAATTTGAGGTCTTCTAAAAATTCTTTTAATTTTTTCAGAGATTGACAATTTTTGTAAAAATAAGTGCCCAAGACTGTACAGAAGCGACGTGAGGCATTCAGGAAGAAAAGATGACAAGAAAAGTGGTCTTGATGAAACTAAGGTAATCTACACAGCTGGTTCCAGATGAATGGATGCAAGAGTTTTTTTTTTAACCCTTTCACTCTCAAGATCTTATAAGTAATTCTTCTTACTGTCTGGTAAACAATCCTCATGATGTTGCTTTGGAGAATTTAGCTTTGGATCAACTACTAATTCCCTTATTTTCTTTGTACTCATTACTAGTCTGCTTACTATTGTATTGATATTGTAAGGAGAAATTCTGTCTTGGTTATTCACTGGAGTTAAAGAGTTAAGTGGTATGGATACATTAGGAGTCATATTAGGAAATGACTTGCCAACTTTTAAATTGTCTGACTTTGCACCTTCTGTGTGTTGGCAGCAAGTTTTTTGGTATTTAAATCACAAATTGGTTCTTTATAAATTTTTCATGTATATAATGAACATTTTGTGAACTGATAGGATGTTAGTACTGGATATGTTTTGGATAGCTTAAATGACACAAAGAAATTGAAATTGCTAGTAAAGCTATTTTATTATCATCCCTATTTGAAGTAATGGGTGAATGAGATTAAGTGTGAGCAAAATTTAATGCAATCAGTCATGATACCATCTTGGCAGGTTTTTGATTGCATGGTTTCTCAGCACTACCCAGTAGTTCCCCTTTCTATGTTTGGATTAGTGAGGGAATAATTTAATACATATAGGAAAACCATTGCTAAATTATGTTACAAAACTAATGTGACTGTTGTAGGCTCCAATTAGACATCAACATGGAGAAAAAGTAGATGATTTAGTCATGCATCATCTCAAGCAGTTGTGCTTTTCCTGCACATTATGTTATTTGTCATCAATTGTAGATCAAGAAAAGTGCAGGGAAAGCTGGGATTCCTAATGACAATGAAGATTCAGATGAATGGGAATTTGAGGACAGGTCTGTGCCTGAAGTTCTTGAAAAAGTGGTAAGCATGTCTGGTTGTTTGCCATGTAACCTCAGAAACTATTTGGTGAACTTAACTTCATCTGAACAACAGATTTGACCACAGTAATTTACCACTCAGTTAACCAATCAAAATAAACTGACTTTGTGCACATTGAAGTTATTGAGGAAAATATCATGCAAATCACACCTGGACCATATCAGATCAACTGATTTAACTGTACTTTATGAAGTTAGAGAGAATTAGGTCCCTGTATCTTGATCTCACTTTTCTCTGGCATCCAGCCCTCACTCGAATTTGTTTAAAATGGGTTAAAATCAGAGATATGTGCAAAGAAACATTTTTTTTTTAGATCTGGAGTAACTTACAGTACAGTTGGTGATAACCTCATGCAATAAATTCAAATATCACTCTCCTCTATTACCTCCTCTCATCGCATAATAATAATAATAACAATAATAATAAAAGTCTATTCAAGGTTTTAAACCAATGTTTAAACTTACAAGATCCATTTTAAATAAGATAAAACTATCTAGTAAGTGTTAATTACAATCTATTTAGAATCAGAAAGACATCTAGGCAAAGCATTTCTTAAACCTCTCTGTGTTATCACATGGGATCTGGTAAGGATGCAACCTACTGCGTAGAGCCCTGTTCTTAAGTGGGGAGAGAAGATCCTGCAAGGGATGCAAAGAAGTACCCGTAATACTTTTCCAGAGCCTTACATCCCTGTCTATGATAACCTGTCGAATTGATGACTCATGTTGAATATACCCCAAATTGAAAGGCCCTTTTCAGTAGCCTATCAATCTGGATAAAGTACTCAGGGTGTAAGCAGCAACACCCCAAACTCTAATACAGTAAGTAAAAAGTGACATAATGAGACATCTGAAGAGGTAATCAAGATCAGATACACTAGAACCATTTCTTTTACACACTCTAAGGATATGCATACGTTTCAGAGCTCTTTCCATCAAACTATCAAAATGCTTATCCCATTTGGTAGGACTATCATGAAAAGTCACTCTCAGAAGCTTCAAATATGACACATGTTCAATTATAGTAACAATTGGCTCAGGAGGGGGTAAGGTTGTTCTTCCTTTTATGACTAGTTCCTTGGTCTTACTAAAGTTAAGTTTCATCAAATTTTCCTCTGCCCAGACTTTAATATTCTCTACCTCCAATACAAACCCATTCTTACTCTCTCAACAAATACCTCTAATCTGAACACTGTAGAGAACATTGATTTAAGATCTTTTGTGAAAATGGGCTTCAGAGAGACGTCGTCAGTTTTATTGTCTTGTAGAAGAGGAATATAGCAGAACGGATTGGTGATGATCACTCAGACACATGGGATTTTAAAGACGACTCAAATACCTCCCTTACCAGTAGGAAAACACAGATACAGCCTAAGGATGTAAGGAAACATATATTTACTATAGGTTGTCACCCTTTTCATGAAAATGACAGTCCACTTTACTATTACAATTTATATCAACATGCTTGAATAAATGCTATTTATTATGTCTGTATATAATTTATATAGGTTAAATCTGGTTAGCTGGATCATTATAGCAGTATAACTCTTTCAAACTATGTGAAGTCCCAGCAATAGTCTGCCTGGAATGTGATGGTTGATTTCTTGAGAGAAAATTAGAAATTGACAAGCTGGATAAAAAACTCTTCTCTTGAGGGAAAACCACCATATGCAGTATGATTACCACTTGACATTTTTAAGGTATAAATCATAAGAAATTGGAACCAGTGTGTAGATACTAAGCATTTAAACTTCACCTGAAAGTTTGAAGTGCTTTTGGAGACATAGCCAAGAGTAAAGATGACCTCTTGGGTAAACAGATATAAGGTTGACATAATCATAATATCTGAAACATTGGCTGGTTTGATTTATACCTTGCAGATTGAAAGTTTTCTAGAGGAGAATAGGACTATAGAGCAAGAAACATCTGATGAATGGGATTTCAAGGATGATCCTTACCTTCACAGTAAAAACTTAAAGGATGCTAAGAACAAAACTGTGCAGAGAGACAGAAGAGACTCAAAAGTGTATAGATCACCACATTCAAATTTTGTTCCTGTTCCTCAGAAACAGCCATGCATCGATACACAACCAAACAGAACAAATGAAGATGTTTGGAATTTGTCTAATAATCCAAGTGCAACATTTCCAATTAGTGACAGGCCTTGTAATAATAATAATCAAGCTGACCAGAAGCAACAAGGCCAGAGTGGATACAACTCAAAGAAACTAACAGAGCAAGACAGAGAGCAGCAAATGCACAGTGGTGACTGTCAGGAAATGTACTCATCACATGCACAAGATGGCGAGCAAAGGGAGAGCTTTCTAGATGACACTAAGTTAAAATATAAAGTTTCACCTGATAAAGGCTTTAGACCCCGCTTTCTCAGCAGTATGGATGATGGTAAGTTGGATTATTGACAGAAGAGATCTTTGCTTAGTTAAACTTTATTAAAAGGGGTCCGTAGGAGAAGATCAAATTTCCAATTAGGAATTGGTGGTAATTCTGTAGATTTTGTGATTTTGTGGAAAGCCACACATGGCTGTGAAGCTATTTCCCTACAATGATACCCTTAAAAAGATTAAAGCTATTTCCCTACAATGATACCCTTAAAAAGATTAAAGGAAACCACCATGCACTGATAAATGAGCAATTAGGAATTTGTCTCATTAGTTAGAGTCACTATCAGTTCTATAGTGCCACTATTTGCCAAAAAGATGGAAGACTTTTTAGTCAGTTCAATGGCAGGTTATTCCTGGATCAGCAATGGGGGGCTTCCTATATATGGTTCTTACATGGGACAGCTTCACTCTCCCAAGAAGTTTCCTGATGAGAGCAGTGAGGAATAAGTAACTAAAGCAAGGAAATCTAGACATTTCAATCAGTATTAATCACGAATTTACCAACCAGAAACAGGGGGAAGCTAGATGTGTAACCCCATGTGACCACAAGAAGTGGTGGTATTTTAACGGTGTTCTTATCATTGTTGGCTAAAATCCAGTGCATGTATAGACTAATACTATTGTAGAAACTAAATAGGTGAAAGAAGCAAGGAGTTTCTTTCTCTCCCCACATTTTGGAAACAAAACTACCACAGACTCTGCATTTGCAGGAGAGGAAGAAATGTATTACTTTTAATTTAAGTTTTATCACATTTTTCTATCAGGCTTTGTCCATATTGATGACATCACACTGCCAGATGCTCCTATATATGACTTCATTCCAAATCATGCTGGCTGCAGAGTGGATGCTAAATAGACAATCCCAAAGCACTCTCTAAAAGTTTTAAATTTAAATCATTGCTTTAAGCTGTAGTTGTTTTTTTATTGGAAACAATTTGAAAATATCTTGAAGAAGTTTATCATTTTTATAAAGGTCTGGAGTGTATTTGAAGCCCCATTTTATAAGATTTTTTGAGGGTTTATTTGATATTCAAGATGGTGCTAAGATGTACAATTTTTACTGCATTGAAATAAAATATTTTTTGCATCAAGCCTTGCACAGCTCTTTGGTATTTTCCAAGAATGTGAATTGAATCTGTGGATGTCAACTTAAAATAAAACAAATGAAAAAAGTAGTCACACTTCTTGATGAATTACAACTTTCTTGTTCCAACTTGAATAAAAAAAGGAAAATTTTTTCACTGTAGAACTGTAGTTGTTCAGTGTGCACTCATCTTTTGTATGCAACCATGCCCTATCTAGGTTGAAACATAATTTCAACACTTAGTGGTCATGTGATGTAATGCTTTTGGACTTCTGAGTTTGGTTTTAACAAAATGCCATCCCAAGGTTCAGGATAAAACTTGTGCTTTTATTTCGTGCTTGGGAATACATAACCAATATCAGATATGTAAAACACACTGCATGTAACTGAAAAGCACAATAACTGTTCTGTCTTAACACATAATACACCCTTCTGAAACTAAATTGCACTCTTTAAATTATCTTTACTACAAAAAAATGAATGACTCAACATTGAGATTGCCAGAAACAGCAAAGCAAACTTAGGACCAGCTTGTCTGTTTCAGGCGTTCAGTTAGTAAAACAGAGTGAAATGGTAAATGGTGTGTTAAAGGCCCCATTGCAAAAATGAGGGAAATTTGGGTTGTCTCACAGAGAACACTCATGGTGCAATTGCAACCCAAACCTCCTTGGTTTTTTCACTTGTCTCCTACTATGTTTACTATTGCACTTTTTTATTACTAACTGAATGGCTGGAAAAGGCTAAGGATCAGCCAGTATTAGAAAAATAGAGGTTTCTAAATAAGACAACAATCTACTTTAGTAGTCAAGGTTAATGTATTTTTTCTTTGCAAATGGAAAAATAAATGTCATTGAATAAGATAAGGGGACAACTTGCTCTATGTACCCAGGCCAATCAGAAAGATATATTTTAACACTTGTCACATTGCCTCTGAAAATAATGTTCAGTTCTGTCTTTCAAACTGTCCAGGGCAAACTATTATCAATTTTTGGCTCCTTCATTTCCTCTGAATCTTGTTCTCTTCTCTTGAGAACGCATCACATTCATGCTGAACACATAATTCACACACTATATGACTGTAATGTGCATACAGCTGTTTCCTTAACAAGTTTGCAGTTGAGTTGCTGCTTCACAAAGCAGTTTACTTTGGTGGTGGATCCCTTTTTAAATGCTCTTATTCAACTAAGGCCTCATATAACTGCCTTCGTAATGTAGAGACCTTTTCTTCTTGTATCTTGACATCTGCTTCTGTGATGGTGAATGGAGTACATAGAGGTTGCTCAGCATTTAGCCACACCTCTGGGTGCTTTTCCAGAGCTATGGCAGACCTGTCTTGCCCTTTTACACTTGCTTTGTTGTGCAAATTTGTCACCAAAGAATGAATTAAGTTCTTTTGGCTTATTCCAGGGCCAACACTCTTAATTTGATCTGGCAAGCGAAAACACTTGAGCATATCCTGTTCCAATGAACTCACTGAAATCCCTTGTAGACGTTTTTCCCAAAACAGTTGCTTTGGTTTATCCTTGTCAGTTCTAGCATTTACTGCCTCATGTTTACGCTTCTTCTCTTTTGGAGCTGCCACTGCCATGGAAGGGTAATACGTAACTTGTTGCCCTGAAATTGATTTGGCATATTGACGCACAGGAGCAGGAATTATACCTCGATTCAAATCTCTCCCAAAGCTTTGATCTCTTTCTCCTTGTCTCCTCTTACTCCGCCTATTGAAAGTACCACTTCTAAAGTCAAAATTTCCAAGGTCCAATTCTGGAAGATGTTGTTCTAGTTGAGGCTTGGAACGGACTTTCTTACCATCTGGACTATTCAAAAGAAAAGCAGAAAAATGTTACAATAATATCCTAATATTATCATATCTGCTAAACAAAAAGATTCTGTGTTACTCTGCACCTAGTCACAACATGATACCTCTGCGACTAATCAAAGCATCGGCAGCTGTGATAGCTGAGCCCATTGCTCACATGTTTAATGCCTCAATTGCTCAAGGTTGCTATGCGAGTGTATGGAAAATGGGGCAGGTGACACCACTGTTTAAGAAGGGTGATGAATTTAAAAAAGAAAATTATAGGCCTGTCACAGTCCTACCTGTACTCAAAAATATATAAGAGAAGCTGCTAATAGCACAGCTGGGAGACTTTTATCAAGCGATTCTGTCGGATTCCATCAGCTCTTACAGAAAGTTCTACAGTTGCGAGACGGCACTGTTAAAGTTAATTGAGGACTGGAGGGCTATGCTCGATAAAGGGGAATTAGTTGCGGTAGTCTTAATGGATCTTTCTGAGGCTTTCGATATTATTCAACACAATCTACTTTTAGCAAAACTCAAAGCTTATGGTGTGGGAGAGAGAAGTTTAGCACTCTTCAAGGATTATTTTTCGGGGAGACAGCAGAGTCAAGATTGGGGACACCTTTTCCAGTTGGAAAGATGTTAAAAGAGGAGTTCCGCAAGGAAGTGTTTTGGGGCCTGTGTTTTTTAATATATTCATCAACGACTTGTTTTACTCGGTTACGCAAGGTAAATTTCACGCATATGCGGACGATCATCAGTTATACTCTCCTGATGTCGACCCAGTAGCTCTACAGAACTGTATTTGTCGGGAAGTGAGAGTTGGAAATAAGTGGTATCGCAGCAATGGAATGATTGTAAATGAGTCAAAACACCAGGCTATAGTCTTGGGAAAAACAGGCCACTCCTTCTCTTTTCCTTTAAAAGATTCTTTGGATATATTTGGAATAAATATTGACAATAGGTTGCATTTTGATAATTATATATCAACTATTTGTAAGAAGATACATGGCCAGTTCAATGTAATGCTAAGATTTCGTAAACTTATCTCTAAAGATACTCTACTAAGATTGTACAAGGCTTTTATTATGCCACATTTTAACTATTGTTCGTCTGTATGGCACTTTTGTGGTGCGCGTAGTACTGAGAAGATAAATACTTTAAATAAGCGAATTCTTAGAGTTATCTTGAAGGATTATAATTCTCCCTGACTCTCTACTTAGCAAAGTTAACTCCAAATCTCTGTATAAAAGACGCCTTCAGACTTTCTTAATTATATTGTACCAGAGCTTGTTTTTTAACTGCTATCCAGGCTAACTGAGGAATATGTTTAGTTTCGGTCTGTATCCTATAATCTACAAAGAAATTATATTTTGTCTCTACCGTCTACAAAAACTACTACTTATGGTCTTCACTCCTTTTCATATATGGCTTCAAAACTATGGAACTCTCTTCCGGTCTCTTTTAGACGTCTGACTTTTCTGATTTCAAGCGCAAGATTCTACAGTATGACTCTTTCTCATAGTTAAATTTTAGAATGTTACAATTTTACATTTTACATTTTAGTAGTATTTAGAATTATGCTTGTAACTCGAAGATACTAGCTTATCCTTTAGCTACTCCAAATTCAAGATTAAATAAAGTATATGTATGTATGTATGTACCTGTTCAGCATTAGATCCCAGATGACATCAAAATGTGGTAAGAACAAAGAAAGGATGGCAGATGAAGCACAGCTGAGAAATTTTCAAGATTTCAAAAGGAAATTTGCCATTCAAGTTGAAGCTTTGTGATCAATCTCTGTTGAATTATTTTAATCCATTATTTGACCAAAAACAGAAGGTGTTAAGATTTTTTTCTTCTGCTGTTTGAATTTCTACATTTTGGGATCTCTTATTCCTTTCAGCCCATTTAAAGATAGCAAAAAGAAGAAACCCCATACGATTAAGCTGATATTATGTGTGTACTCATGGAGACATTCATCCATCTGAGATCAATGTGGATAACATTTTTTTTACTCAAGCCAGGTGGCCCATCAAGCCAAAGTTTATCCTGGTTTCCTAGCATGAAATGACTAAGAGTATTACTAGTTCCCCCTGGAAGGGATGCCAGTCCCAGCATTTGATCAGGCTTTCCTGACTATTTGCTAGAACTAATTTATACTCCTGGGTGGCATTATGGCACTAAGAGAATATGCATAATAAGAGGAGCAGGGAAGGCACAGTAGTGAGAGCACTTGCCTCCCACAGCTGTGACCCAGGTTTGATTCCCAGATCTGGTGTCACATGTGGGTTGAGCTTGGTGTTGGTTCTCGTCCTTGCTGCGAGGGTTTTACTCTGGGTCCTCTGGTTTTCCTCCCTCCCTAAAAGCCAACATTCCAAATTCCAATTTGATCTGGAAACAGTGGACAAGAAGAGCCACCCAGTGGAATGTCCATTGCTAAATTATTTAGTATTATTTATTATCAATGACCCCACCAGGTCTCAAACTCAGATCTCTTGACTTAGAATTCAGGACAGTAACCACAAGGCCACAATGTCTACCCATGTGATCATTGTAGTGAAGGCAAAACTTCCAATGTAACATTAGAATTTATCCACAATTTTACAGATTTGACCTGAGACTTGATAATTTACTTTCATTCACACATGAATGAAAGATCTATTAAAAGTTTGGTAAATGATCACGAGAGTGTGTATTTATGTATTTCACTTAATTAACATCTTCTATGATAAAAAGGGTGCTGTTTTTTTCTTGAATATGTATGCAAGCTGAAAATATATCCGCTTTTACATAGTTGGTATGCTATTATTACATAAGTAGTAAAATTGACATCACAAACTCACTTTCCTCTCGAACAGCAATTCCTAGAGATAATTTCTTTCTCTAAAACTTGAGATTTGGGTAAAGGATCGTCGGAATCATGTGGAAAAAATAACTGTGTACCCATTTACTAACTTAGGCGGATGTTTCTCATAATCAACACATGTGAAGGTCCCCACACCGTCTTTTGTCACCGGTACCCTGAATTTTTAAGTGATCAGTAGTGATAAAAATCTAAGAATCAAGCGTCTTGTCTCCCCAGAAAACGGACAAAAACCCATTAGTAAAGACTTCAAGGCACTGTATGGCACTCGCCAGATGAAAAAGAGCGTTAAGAGAAATCAAACCGTGAAGGATTTCTTCTCAAACAAAGTTATCACGTTCCAACATTCATGTACCTGTAATAGTAAACGTCGCTTCTCCCAGCTGATAAACCCGACTTCCTCATCACAATTTCGCGCTGCCAGCCGTTGGGAAGACTAGGACACTCCGTTCTCGATTTCTCATCCATATTTGACATAACAAAAACCAAAACAGTAAGAAAATTGGAAACTCAAATCAAAATGGCGGATTTTCTACTCTATCTTGGTCCCCAGATTTCGTTCGTTCCCGATAAATCAGAGGACGAGCTACCCTGGAAACGACGTTGCTTCTTTCCTGAATTCCAACATAGTCCTTGGAATGATGCAGATAAGCTCGTAGCGCATTTTACGAAAGGATGGTTTAGAAAAGCATCGTAAATGGTATATTTCTCCTAACTGAGCCTTTCTGCTGTAAAGGAATTTTTTTTTAAGCGGTCAAAATATTGAACATATGCAAACAAAACAATCAAATATATTGGAAGCCTTACGGATGATCGCATCAAGGCGACCTCGCAGCTGGAAAGATGGATTAGACGTCAAACTACTGCCGCCGTTATTGGGAAAAAGATCTAGTTTGGGATGAAGAAGATTAAGGGGAAGTTAGTGAAGCGTACCTCACAGGTGGGTGTGATTTACACAATCATACCTTTGTAGGAAACTCAACTCGAAACCGGCCTTAATTACAGTAGGTATCAAGTGTATCTTCAGGCCAGTGATTGTTTCAAGACAAAAGTTTGTAAACAACACGAGCTTAGTTTATTTACCGCAGCGTGGCTCTAATTTGAGATTAAGGCATTATGTTGTACATGTTTTTAGAGGGAGGTGAGACAGAAGCAGAAGGTGCTGTAGGGATTGCCCCGGGTTGTTTTGTAAAGTTTGACAGTCTAGGTACAAACAAATGTAAACAGTACACGTCCACTCAAAATTAGTCGAAAGCTATAGAACTATCAAAAATCTACTGTAAAGCAATATGGCTTTTATATTAAGCGAAGGCTACCCCACTGTTGTAATTTATTGCCTCCAACGAGCAATTACAATTGACATTTCTTGAGAAAACTTCCAATTCTTTGCGTTATCCACTTTAGCCTACTCAAAGGTGATTAATCAACAATTCTTCACTGAGATGGAGGTGAATAATTGTAGTAGTGTATGCTACACAGAAACCATAGAATTAGTTTATTTTCATAATATACTAAGAAACTGTCTCTTCAGCTGTATGGAACTTGATAATCACTTCCAAACTAGCCAATCAGTGTGTGTGAAAAGTACCATTCACTTGTGTCATGTATGCCAATTAACAATTATTCACTGGGATGGAGGTAAACAGTGGTGGATTTTTGTAGAGCTACAAAGCAGCAATGTAAATATCCACCACTTATAGAGACACTAAAAGGAATAATTGTTTTTGAGTAAGTATTAAAAGACCATAAAAGAACCAAACAATAACTCTGTGTCAGTATACTGAAAAACTATTGGAAAGTACACTCTTGACAAATGACTATTCTCTTTAGTTGCTTGGAGGTGAACAGAACTTGCTAATCACTTCCCAACCAACTTATCGCTGTGTGTGAAGAGCTTTCTTTACCTGTTTGGTTTATACTTAAAGTATTTATCAGTAAATGGAGTAGGATGTTAATTTACTGATTTGTTAATTTATTTATGAACCTGGTCTTCACAATTTCTTTTTATACATAATTTTAGAAAACGTCTGTTTTATTGAAAGACATGAAAAATAGACATCCATTTATGATCTAGTTTTTTGATAACCCAAAATATATATTTTGTTAAAAGTAATTATATATTTTATTTGCTATACATGCACAGACTCAACTTCAAGTAAATCCCCCGTGTGAAGAAGATTGGACTAAATATGATGAACGGCTCATTGAATGTGTGGTGAATGGAGATGTGGAAAAACTCAAGTAGGTTAAATTTGAAAAAAAAAATTGTTTTTTTGTTTGTAAATGCACATGTCACTTGTAATAAAGGCAGTGTGAAGAAAATAGAAAAGACAAAGAACACTGAGTAATTCAGTAACAACAAAAAAAGAATTTAGCAGTGACAAGAGTTAAATATGTTCGGAGAGTATAAAAGATCAACAACCCCATCGCAACAAAACTAAAATATGCACAGTAAATTTGGAGGTTCATTAGCGAGATGAAGAAAGGTGTGAAATTTAAAATCAAAACAAAAATTTTAGTTGCCCACTTGGTATCAAACCTCCGAAACTCAGATGTCGTGGTTTAATGCTCTACTGACCACTAAGCTTCAGGGATCTTATAAGGCTATATATTGGGTCTATATGTGACAAGTGTCCTGAAAGCTGCAAGGATCAACAATGCTAAAGTGATCAGTGAATATATTAAATAGATAAAGAAAGATGTTCTTCATTTCTCACAAGTCTAAGGAAGGAAAGGAAAATCTGAGTCTTCTAGACTAAAATTTTTTCTTCTTTGTTTGACACTAACCCCTGGTGGTGAATAATTAACATCTCTTTGTACTCAATAAGAAAGCCTGTCATTTTACCGTCTGCCTTTGTCAGTAAGAATTTTATTTTTCTTTAAATACTCAAGTGATTATTAATAAATACTTTTATCAGCTACTTTGTCAAGAATACATTCTATTGTGTTTGAAACAACTCTTATTAAAGAGGAAGGTAAGGAAAATATCACCCCAAAAGGCTTTAATCCTGTAGAAAGCTGTAAATTTTTTCAGACCACCTTCAAGCTCATTTCGGGGCTGTTACTGTTGTTAGGGAAGGTGCCTTTGTTAGATTACATAATAATTTTCCACTTCTAATTCAATGTATTGAAATTCCAATTTCTACTCCAAAAGCCAAACTTGTTGAAACAAAAAATTCTTATTTTATTATTAAGCATGGTATGTTTTCACTTTGTTAGGTCTACACTTACAAAAAAGGGGACATCAGCAATAAAGTTGGGCCCAAATGGAACAACAGCGTAAGAAAATATCATACCAACCTCTATGCTAATTATCTTTTGATAATTGATACATGTATATCAACTGCTTGAGATGAAGACCATAATTATTGTCTCCACATTGTGGACTGCCAATGTGCTGTCTATCTTTAGTTGATTATTTTACTGGACTGGAAGTAATGGACTTCAAATGATGAAGTTCTCTATATTGATTTCTTATGTTTCTTAATTAGTTAATATGTGAGCTATTTACAAAAAAGTGGTGTCCCCACATTGTGCAGTGGTAATGTGCTAGTTAGCTTATTATTTTAGTGAACTGGAAATAATAAAATGCAATTGATGAGAGTTTTTATATTATTTTCTTTTATTTCTCAGTTAGTATGTGAGCTATGATTGGTTAACTTAGCTAATGGTATTCCACTGAATGGCTGGCTAACTTCAAAAGTTTGTTTAAATAGAAATCTTCCCCCTCTATTTGAATTCAGAAATGTTCAATAGATATCTTTAAGTTATTAACCTCATTTTCTAAGTCTGTACTGTAAGTTACCTGCCTTACACTTGGGCCTTAAATCATAGCAGAAAAACTTGTTCTGTAACTTACAGTATGGATGTGGAACTTGTTAGTAAGAGCTATGAGACCATATGATAAGTTCTTTTGTATACAAACTTGGTCCAGTAATTTAATCATGCGACTATTGCTGCAATTATAACAATTTAACATCATTTGGATTTGGTAAAATTTTGATGGGTTGGGATCTTTATATTAACTTATTTTAACTAGCAGTTTATTATTAAGATTAGGGGATCTACTTTAATTGCAGTCATAGATTATTTTAGGATTTAGGGCTCTTCATGTATCAAGAGCATGTCCTGATTAACAAAATTGTTTATCACTTTTTCTTAGTCTTCACACGGCCTGTGAGAAAGGAAGTGTTGAGTGTTTGGAGGTGTTACTGCGAGAACAGCCAGACTTATCATTTGTAAACAAAGCAGGTGAGTCTTTTATAAGCTGCTTTTTAAGTGCATCTGATGCAATTGGCTTCACATTGTCAATTGATTGATTGATTTGATCGATTTATCAGTTTAATGAATACATGTGCAAGATATAAATTCATTATAACAGCTTTGATGAAAGAAGGACAAACAAGAGTGTCCAGGTTTTAAACGAAGTCCGAGTCAAGGTGTTATCGTCATCAGTAGTTTCTTCGCTTGCAGTTCTAAAATGAAGTTAAGAATGTGCTCTGTATAGGATCTGATTTTGGCAGCTGTGTGATTACAAGTAAAGAGTGTAAATGGGATCATAGTTTCATTGTAATTGTTAACAGCTATGTAGCTATAAAATTCAATATATACTTGTAAGCAAATAACCAAGTTCAATGGTACATTACAAATTAACTGACAGTAAACTGATGTTAACGTTGGTAAAGCACATCAGAGGTGTTCATTTAAGGTACCACAGACTATATCCCCATGTTCCTTGAAATGTTTTTCTTTCAGGCTGTAGTCCTCTACACGTGGCTGCATATTCTGGGAACTCAGAATGTGTGAAGAAAATATTAGAACGGAAGGTTCATGTCGGAACTCAGGATGGTAAAAAAATGACAGCACTTCACCATGCAGGCAAGTTGTAATGTTTATCAGTAATCCTTTCATCAAAGACAATCTGTAATAATATGATCATTGCCTCAGATAGTTTATTCTTTTTTGGTCTGTTTTTGCTGAATATAGCTGCCAAAGGCCAGAAAGAATGTGTTGAACTTCTTCTTAACAGCAAAGCTTCTCTTAATGGCAAAGACAAGGTAACTTTTGGTCATGCAATTTAATTGATATACAATTTGTTAAGGACTGCATGAATGAAATGCTGAATCACTAGTTGAAATATACTGTTGACTATTTGGCTCAACTAACTTTCAATAGTAATTAGTATAATTTCAGAGCTGAGCAAAGAGTTTCCAGCAATCTGATTGGTTGAGCGGTTCCTTATATGATGCTATATAGACCGCTCCACGCGGTTTATATAAAATGTTAAAATAAAGTGTTAATAAATGTTACTAAAATGTTATGATTTTAGAAATTTCTCTGTTGTTCAGCTCTGAAATTATACTAAAAAACAATTATTCACCTCAGGTTCGGTGAATATTGTCGAATAATCCCCTTGACTTTGTCTCGGGGATTATTCGACGATATTCACCTCGCCTTCGGCGAATAATTGTTAATTGTAAGCGTCTTATATGTTCTAGAACACACATAGGAAAAATAAAAGCAGCATATGATTCTGCCATTTAATTACGGAACACTTACAAGTACAAGAAAGATATTGTGTTTGATTTATCATGTAAAAGAGGTTATTTCAACTTTTTTTTTTCCAGGATGGAAGAACCCCATTATTGATGGCAATACAAGGTGCACATGAAGATGTTGTCAAGTTATTACTCAACAGAGGAGCAAAGGTTAACATAACAGACAATTCTAAAAAGTGAGTCAAAGCAAAACTTTAAAAACTTGTCTTCTCTCACATGCTGGTTTGAAGAGTAGTAGTTACTAATAGTAGGTAATAGTCCTTTCTGTGTGTCCATAAGGTCTCGGCCAGAGAACACCATTGATCTATTGGTTGCCAGTCTTTCAAGCTGCCCCCATGTCCAGCCTCTGTTCCTCATTTCCCTTTCCTAGGTTTTACTCCAAGATTCCTTGGGGCAGCCTCTCTTTTGTAGGCCATCAGTATAGTCCTTTGGAGAGTGACTCTGTACTTTGCAGCTGGTTTAAAGAGAACTTACAGTAAATATGAATGACAGAAGGGAGCTGATACATCCCTTGTATTGATAGGTTATTATTATTGGGAAAAGTAGATTATTTCTACATGATACCTTATATAATGATGTACTTCACTGTAATTCATAGGACTGCACTTATGTATGCATCACTTCTGGGGCTTTCCATTACCGTAGAGATGTTATTAAAAAGGGGTGCCAATCCACAACTGACTGACAGCAATGGTCATACAGGTATGCAAGGCAAAATTAATTATTTACAAGATTAGTGAACAGCATTCAAATACCTTCTTCCATGATATATTTTTGCAACCCTTTTTGATAAGTAATGAGAAGGAAATTAATTTTTGTTTTCATGATTGACAGCTGAAGAGTTTGCTCCCTTGTGTAATTACCAAGATATCATTGATCTTATGCACAGTGCTCCATCTGTTGCAATGTGGGATGCAGGTATTGATAAACACTAGATTTCTGTTCCTGCCAGAAATGGCTTGTAGAGAATTTAAGTTTTGATCAAAAACTTGACTGAATAAACAAACTGGTATAATGATATTATTTTTTTGAAGTGTTTCACCAGATAATAACTGATTTTACTCACTTAGGTGCACAGTAATGATTAAATCAAGAAAATCACTGTGAAGTCTTTCTATTTTGTAATTTAAGGATGATGATATATCAAAAAGCAAGACATTTGTTTAGGAATCTTTGTACTAATGGTTCCAAAACAAAACAAAATCCATGTCTATGGTAAAATGCACAAGTACCACTATATGATACCTGGTTGTCCAAACCACCTTGTGGATATATTTATATTAGATTACAAGAAAAGATACAGCAGACTTTTATTTATTAGGGGAAACTTCAGAGGATAATGAAGCAGATGAAGAGGACTCCAATGTTCCAAATGTAATTATTTTAGAAAGTTGTGTTAATGTCAACAACCAAGGCATCCTTTCTATTTGTATGCATTATTAATAGCTTTAATTTGTTTTCTTGCATGCTCTTGAAACTGCAGTTGGATTAAAGATAGCCTAATTATTTACCTACTAGTAAATAGACTTTTTGCACTGATTTAGTTCCATTACAGCTATTCAGTAACAGCGAAAGCAAGACTTTATCTTCTCAATACTGACTTTCTTACACAAAAACAAGTTAACAGGAAAACAGGTTGAAACCAAAGACATAAAACTAAAAGATAAGTTTAATAGGATAAACAACTTACCCTCAAAATGAAAAGCAGACAAAATAAAACAACAAAATATGTACAGACAAAATAAAACAACAAAATATGTACATTGATAACCCCTTGAAAATAAAACTGCAACTGTAAATAACTTTGTAGAAAAGACTTCTTGAGCAGATAACTGCCCTTAACATGACTTAAAAAGAAAATGACCAAAAAAAGCCTGATTACATTATAAAGGACTATAAAAGTACATGCAATATGTGAAAGCATGGAAAAGTGAAGAACAATAACTATTAAAAAAAAAAAACAAACAATAACTATTAAATGTAAAACACTAATGAGGAGGAACAGTATGAGAAAAGGAAAAGAAAAATAAATAAATAAATAGTTCCCAAAGTATTTAAAAAGTGCCTAAATCTTACATATTCAGTATTTCGATAATCATGTCTTCTCATTGAAAAACTTCAGTCTGTAATCAACAAATTAGGTGAAAAAGTTTATAAAAAGTCTGTCAAAAAGACTGTCAAAAAGTCAAAAAGAGTCAATAGATTCTGTTACTTAATTAAATCTTAATCATCAGTGATTAGACATCTTGATTAAGATAATTGTGATTTTTCTGCAAAATGCAGGTTAGTTATTTTCTCTTGATATTATTTTATAATTAAACTGATTTTTTTAAGCATTGAACACAAATCATCCCAACCTACCAGAGTCAGTTGTTAACATTGTTTTAACTAATATACTTGGACATATTTAAGTGTTGGAAGTTAGTTTACCATGACTGATCACACATGTTTACATACATATGAATTTGATTCTTTGTCAGGGTGAGTTAATAACAGAGTTCAGCAATATGGAAGAATCAGAAGCAGAGACATCTGTTTCACTACACCATGAAACAGTGTCAAGTACTACTGGGGTAAGTGTAATTCTGGTCTTTTTTTGTCAAGTTGAAAATTTGACATTTTTTATAATGATCACTATGCCACTGACAGTTTGCACTATCTCTGATGAGCAAATATAAAACATAATCATTTGATTTCTTTGAAAACATTGTTTGTTTCTTATTTTACTGTTTCTGACAGTAATTTGATTTTTTTTGGCTAAGACGCATTTTCTTAATATGTGTATTTCAATCTTGAACTTTAGATTTAAAGGCTCTGGCATGGAACCAAAAAGCTTACTTTTTGATAATACATAAGCAGATAAAAAGTTTTTATCAAAAATTAAGACAATTTAGTTTAATGAGATGAATTTCACCAAAAAAAGTACAACATTATATGTGACATTCTTTATTTTAGGTTCCAAGTTCTGTCAACAGTGGTAGTTTATCACAACAGGTAACTTTAATTGGGTCTTAAAGGTATTCAATGTGATTTGATTTCATGCTGTGTACACTTAAATTCTGTCTTTCCATAAATGACTGATTGTCATGGGCAATGATTGCATTGTGGAATGTAGTCATTTAATTCTGAGAAGTAATTAATTTGTGCATTGTGCAGTTTTTTTAAATACATTGTAGGAATCCTTTTCATCCAAAGCTTCAACAACACTCTCTTCCTCAAGAGCAGCCAACCAAGATCTCTCTCAAGATATCACGGTAGACTATTATTAGTGTTGTAAAGAACTGGTTCACTGGATAATTATACTTACACTGTACATCACGTACAGTTTACTAGAAAAGTTGTGTTATTATAGACAGGTCAAATATGATTCACTTGTACTGGTAAACCATCTCATCACATATCATTGCTTCGTGGGGAATAAAGAATTTGTGAACTTCTTTTAAAGTTGCTTGTTAGCTCAGTTACAAGAAGCACTAAACTGGTAAAATGAATGAGGGCACTGGTTCCACTGCTTTCACAACCTGACTTTTCTTAAGCTTTTTTTATTCCAGCTCATCTTTATCATCCAGGGATCACCTTCCATGAATATCTGTTTCCTAGAAATCCTTTTGGATGTGTCTCTTCATTTTAAACACTTGTTCTTTTTAGGAACTGGAAGAGGAAAATGAAATGCTAAACCAAGAATTAAATAAACTGAGAGTCCAACACCAGAAGACTCTAGAAAGGGTAACTTTTGTTATCGTCTGTACCTTTCTCAGTCAGATAATTTATGTATTTTATGTTATGATGGTTTTTTGTGTGTTTACATTTAACTCTTGCTAATAGCGTGGCCAGCCCTGATAACTGTAAGCTCCAGACCTCCGTTCCAATACTTTTCTAGGGCTCTGTTATTTCTCCATCTTCAGTAACTTTTTGTTTACTTCCAATGTGTGAGCCTCCTGTGGCAAATACCAATTAAGCCTGATCTTTTTCCAGACTTTGATTTTAAAAGTTTCATGTTACTTGTGTTACACCATCAATCAACCTTTTTAAAATCTTCATTCCTTAGTGTTCACATGATGGAATTTGATCTAATAATATCATGATAGTGGGCTCTTTCATGAGTGTCCAGGGAGTGTTTGCCTTTAAAGAGGCTAAAGCATAATTTAATAGATTAAAATCTCAGGGTAAATCTTATTCTTTTTGGCTACAGCTTCGTGGTCTTGAAGCCAAGCAAGAAAGCAAAGCACCAGTAGTATCAAATCATATCAATGTAAGATATTGTGATGGCTTTTTTTCTTTGAGAAGAATATGCTGCCTTTCTATAACATCAAGAAATGGTTAGATATTCTAGTCTTCTCAGACAGGGACGAATAAATGGAGGTCCTGTCTCCTGCAGAGTTAGGGGCAGGAGACGTTAATTTCCCATGCACGAGATTACTGTGTAATGGATGTCCTCCCCTGGGGTGGGGTGGGTGGTTAACAGGACCCCGGTTGATACCAGTGTTTACTACACTGAAGGGGCTATCCTGTATAAATATATAAAGGCTGATAGTTTTGAAAGAAACTGTTTGGGGCTGTGTCAGTGGGAATAATGAAATAATTTGGATATAATTTTCAACAAAGTTGAAGTGGTAAATTGGCCACCATAACGATTACAAAAGCTGACGTTTCGAACGTTAGCCCTTCGTCAGAGCCCCTCTGTATAAATATAGATGTCTACTCTACTCTACTCTTATAAGCTAGCTGTTTGCTTTCCTGTAATCTCTGTTATTGTGGTTTTTTTTTACTTTCTTTTGTTTAAGTTCAACTAAATACGTGATTACTTTGTTACTGACGTATTCAGGGACATGTAGAGGAAGAATTATTAGAAGAAAAAGACAAAAAAATAGAGGAGCTAGAAAAAGAGGTATGACTTGTTGCAAGAACACTTTCTTTTTCTAGTTATTTCAATTGCTTTTCAATTGTGTCAATGATTTTTTTTAAGGGGGGGGGAGAGGTGAGGTACCCAGTATTCTTTGGTCTCATGGTGAACAAGTAAAGGAGTTTGCAAATGTTTTATATATCTGTTTATTTACAAAATTTAGAGTGAGGGAACACTCTGGAAGTACGCAGTGTGGTCTCCTTTGTTATCTAAGTAAATACATTCTTCAATTTGATCATAATTGAGTACCTGATAAGACTGTTCTGAAGTCCCTTAGATGATCTCTGATTTTACACTTAGATTTGAGTGGATCAAATTTCCCTTTAACCAAAAAAGTTTGAAAGGACAGTTATGTCAGTCTTCTGTTTAATATTCTGAATTAAGTAAAATGTTGAAGAAATAAGTAAGCAAATTGCAAAGTACAAATTTCTATGAGTTTCAAAAGTGAGGAAGTATAATAATAGGTAGGGGTGGACAAAAAATAGCAAGAATTGCATTAATTTTATTTAAAGTTTAGAGACTGAAGTGTGGTGAATGCTTTCCCTAATGTTTGATAACAAGTCATTTTCCTTATAAACAAATGGTCAGGTTGAGAAATTAAAGGAAGATTTAACTTATGAAGAAGAGTCCAGATGTGAAGCTGAGGTAGGAAACTTAGCCCTAAGAGAGATGGGCATCTAATTTCTCCTGAAAATTTCACCCCTGAATCAAAAAATTGGTTCATGAGAATGGAGGAAACAAATACCAACTAATAAAGCTCTTGATTGTTAAACAACTTTTCCTCATCAGGACCTAAGGAAATGTATAGAGAACTGTATGAAGAATATACATACTGATGTTATGCTGTAATGGGTTAGATAGATAGATGACTTAATTTATTTAATGAGGGTAAAAAACCCTTCACATTTAAAACTGATAAACTAGTGGTCCTCAATGGGTTGACTTTAAATAAAGTCTCCAACAACAACTGGCTCAGAAGCATTCATTTGGCACCCTCTGTTTAACTCTTTCACTCCAAATATCTCATTAGTAATTCTCCGTACTGTCTGCCATACAATTCTTAGGATATTAGTATGGAGAACTTGGTGATGGATCAACCGATATTATCCCCTTATTATATTTTCTTTATTCTCATCCCTTGCCTGCTTGATATGGTTTGGTATTGTGAGGAGAAATTCTCTCTTGATCACTCTTGGGAGTTACAGGGTTATTAACTACTTTCCTTTTGATCAATTTATAAAATCTCACTGGTGAACAGGGAAGCAGAGACTGTTCCTTAATGTACTTCTAACCTGGTGCTGATATAAACATTTAAGGAATAATTATGTTGATCTTGAAATAATTAATATGTCATTTGCTTTGGTTCTAGCAAGAAGTAGAGAATCTCAAAGCTCAAGTGGCAACACTCCAGGTCAGTGACTGTGTATAAATAAATGTGACCTTTGAATTACGGTTGTTGTCCCAGGGCGGTAAATGTTTTTACTGAATGCACACACTGTGAGTAACCTTGTGTACTGTAAACTTTAACTTTTTTCGGAGGCAGGTTCTTTGTATCTCTAATATTGCTATTGACACACCCTGATATTTAATTATTCTCATAATGACTCTGTTCAGGATGAAAATCAGAATGACTTTAACTCCAGTGAAACTGATGATGATATTGAGTTACCAGGTAAGTCCAGTCCTGTTCATTTGGTGTTGATTAAGAAATCAAAGAGGTAAAGTTTTCAATTAATAGTTCAAAGCAATTCAAAGTTAAGCACTTTGATTCCTAAAATAAAGCACCAGGGACTTGCCTTAATATGTCTGTGTTTGAACTGATGATTCAGACTGATCATACTTGTAAACCAATTTCAAAATCAATCAATTGTTTTTATTAATCACCTGCCACCCAAAGGAAATGTTGGAATACTCTTCAGCAGGACATCCTGCCTTGCCTATTAATCTAAAATTCATCTGAATTGATATGAGTATCACATGGATTTTCCTGAAAGCTCAAATGTAGGATTCATAGTGGATACCTGGGATTTGGGATCCAAAATGGATAGAAAAAAATTCCAATTAAATACACTCCAAGTAATGTTTCTGAAACTGCTATCCTTTGAAAATAGGAATTTTGCAGAAAAGTTATTTCCAGAATCTATGTAATATATTTATGATGTTTTCATTTTGCTAAGTCATAACTTGAGTTTTGGATGTGGTGTATGTTATTAAAATGATTTCATTCTATAATAACCCAAACTCGAATGCAAACAAAACAGCCCCAAAAGATGTAGAGGATGATGTGTATGAGGGACCAGTGGATAACATACTGGTCCAGAAGGGTCAACATGTGAGCCTTGGTAGGAACAGTGACTGTTTTGTAGTTGAGTAAGATGGACACTCTTCTCTAATAGTGCCTCTCTTAACCCAAGAGCATAAATTGGTGCTTACAATCTGTCAGGGGAAAAAATTGCCAGGGGGTGGGGGGTGGGGAGAGAGTAACCCGTGACGAAGCAGGCATCCAATTAGGTGGAAGTGACCAAATAAGTGACAGCAGTAGGGGCCACTTAGGTCCAAAGCAGACTTTACCCTTACGGTACCTTTTCTTTCAATGTAGGTGTTGATCAAAACTGGGATACAAAGAACAACAACAAAAAAAGTGAGTCATTATTTCATTGCTTTGTGTTTTCTTGAATTTTACCAGCCTCACTTTAAAGTCAGTTTCAGTTCTTGTGATGCTTCTTGTTTTGGTGTTAGATACACAGCCGGACCAACTCATTTCACTACATGGTCAGGTCACAACTCTTAAACTTGAAAATGAAATGCTTAAAGAGCAACTCCAAGTAAGTTCGACAAAACAAAATGTCTTCTAAACACCGGTGTAAGTAGTTGTTTCTTTTTGGGAAAAATGATTTTAATGATATAAATTCCGTAGTAATTTGTTTTAATTTCAGACCTTCAAACTTTTCCATTCGCCAACATCTATAACGAAAAGGAAATGTGTATGACTGTTCACTCTAGTGGTCACCTCGCATCCATTTCATTCCTTTCGTGTTGGTTGTTAACTACCTGCTTAATAAGACAAGAACCGAGAATTGGTTTTTAAAGAGACAATTAGAAAACTCACTAAGTTCTGATTTTATTTTCCACGGTATTTTTAGGCCCGACATTTTGTGGAATTTCTGGTTTTTTTTTTTTTATTATAATTTCTTGTTTTCTTATACAAGTTCCTCACTTTTAGGTCCTTTCGTGATTTTTTCTTCCGTTGGACTTTTTAACACTTTTTAACACTTTTTAAAACTTTCTTCACAGTGCCCTACTAATTTTTTGGTTTTTTTATTTGCGTGCCTAGATTTGTAATTTTTTCATTTCCAAATCTCCACAGCGGCCTTCTCGAGTCAATGGGGATATGATTCATAGCCAGGTTGATCGCAATATACCCACAATTCCACTTACAGTTTATCAGCAGCTCAAGGTAAGGTACATTTACTCTACAGCAGCTTAGCTTACCTTGTCTACAGTCAGCTAACTAGTCACCAATGACTAGCAAATTCCTTTAAATGCCAGAGATTTGAGATAAGCTATGTTGTTTTATGAGGGAGTGAGGACAAAATGTGAGAAGGCTGTGCTTTGCAGTGCTTTTAAATCAAAGAAAGGCAAATATACAAAAGAGAAATAGAAGAAATTTTTTGTCAGTCGATGAATTTTTATATATTTCTTCTGTGAAGTTAATTTTCGGAATTATTTTCCACTGTATCTTTTACTTTTTTTCTTTCGCATTTGAAAAGATAATAATATTTTCAAGACATGGCGTCCGACCCATACCTGAGCTAGTCTCCTTCACACGCAATTCTGTCACGCAACGAACTCTCTCACTAAAGCCCCGTCTACACGAGCAATTTTTATATGGCAATTTTTATTTTCCCGTGTAGATGATGGAAAATGACCAATTTTTATGTGACAACTGCATTTGCTGAAAAGCTGTCGTGTTAGTTTTCATGTGGCAAATAAAAATTACCACTTAAAAAAATTGTCCGTGTAGATGAGACGCCACATAAATTGTGACAAAAGCGCCTAAAGCTGCAACACGTCTGGCACGTCTTCTGACTTTCCCCATCTTGCTTTTTCCTTTCCATGAGCATCTCCGCTGTGCAAAATTATTACTGACGCAAATTAACCAATATTTGTCGAGCCATCTACACGGGCAAATAAAAATTGCCACATACAGTTGCCACATAAAAATTGCTCGTGTAGACGGGACTTAAGAGAGAGAAAGCGGTGCGTGACGAGACCAAACAGAGGCTATAAAGAAGGCTGGACTGAGATGATCCCTACTCTCTGCGTTTGATATTCACGTACTGCAGCCTCACCATGTAGCTTGAGAATAAATGTGGAATGTACACGGGTGTTGAACTTGTTTCCTTTTCTATTAGGAATCAAATGAAGACGAAATATTTAAGTTGACGGAAGAATTGGAAGAGCTCAAGATAACAAATGAATCCCTTCAAAAGGTTTCTTTTGACAGAATTAATTTTAAAACTGAAGTAAATGCGACAAAGGGTCGAGGTTGTAACTCTAGGCAAGATGAAAATGTTTAAATTCCCAGATTACTCAGTAACGTTTTCAGTTAAGGTTAAATTGATTTTCCAGTAAGTTTAACTTTTTTTTTATCAAAAATAGATCAATTGCATGTCATTGACCTTTTATTTAGTGTCTCGACAAACTGCTTTCAAGATTGCTCCTGATTCTTTCTCATTCGTCTGTAGTGTTAGAAGGAGGATTGGAGTGCAAAGGATGATGGGCTCTCTCTTTCTCCATTGTCTTCTAATAGCGCACAAATAAATGGACAAGATTCCAGTTGGGTCTCTATTTTCCTTGACATTTAGTTTCTTTTATTTTCCTAAGTTAGTTACCAACAATGGATCATGTCCTCAATGCGGTCAGCTCAAGACCAAGTCAGGAAATTCATTAACTACTACAACAGAACAGCGGTTAATGGAAGATTTAAAACAGCTCGAGCATCAGTTTCAGGTAAAAAGCGAAAAAACGCTCTTTATTCTGTCTTCCATCCACATGCAGTTTCCTTTTTTCTAAGTCAAATGTCTGACCAAGAAAGCGCGCTCATCGATGTGAAAGGCGTAACGAGATACGAGTGCGATGATCAAACCACGAAATGCATAAGTTGGTCAATGCTTAACTCGGCGAAGAGTTTGCATATATATCGAACTTTGTTATTGTTTTACCCTTAAATTGCATGTTGATTTTGACTGCACTTCTTATCAGTCTGCAAGAGTAACAACCCACGCGAGATGTAAGGAGAGCACGAGAAAAGTTTGTACATCATGAGCCGAAGGCTAGTGGTATGCAAGGTTTTCTCTTGTTCTCCCAACACCCAAAGTGGATGTTTACACTAGTAGAACAACAGAAAGGGCGGTCTAATGCTTTGGGTTAACCAGCTCAATAAAAATATTTTATTAGCATCTCAATTACTCTGTCAAACCAAGATAAAATAGTGGGACTTTCTCTAAGTAAACCCAATAAATAGACCTGACAAAACCGAATCCAGTAAAGAACTCAATGGTCTGAAACTGTTTATACACGGATTAAACAAAGATGCTCGTGGTAGTTGAAACAGTGTTCTTTCCTCTAATGTTTCGTACAGATTCATCGGCCCAGGCAAGTAGTTTGTAATGTTAAAATGAGGGCTTATAGATTTATGGCTGGTTCAAAGCGTTTCCAAGTACTTTGGCAGGTCTTCCGCTCGTCGTTTGCTTAATTGACGTTAGCTCAATTGGTTAGAGCGCCGGATTGTGTTGTGCGGGGGAGGTCGAGGGTTCGAGCCCCGGCCGGAACGATACTCATGGTCTTAAAATAAGTGAGGAGAATTTGCTATCTTTCTAATCAAGAAATGGATAGATATTCTAGTCTTGTCGGATAAGGACGAATAAACCGTAGGCCTCGTCTCCTGCAGGGTTAGGGGTAGGAGACGTTAATTTCCCACGCACGAGATTACTGTGTGGTGGATGTCCTCCCCTGGGTGGGATGGGTGTTGGCCCTGAAAAGCTCCTAGGGGGAATGGCAATTAACCCATGTATGTATGTATGTATGTATGTATGCATGCATGCATGCATGTATGTGTGCATGTATGCATGTGTGCATGTGTGCATGTATGCCTGTATGCATGTATGCCTGTTCAATAGTCAGTGCCCAGCTGTAAGGTATTTTATGACACAGGAAACCTGCCCAACTTGTGTTACTTGATCCGCGTTATTGTCTTTGGTAGGAGGCTGAAAGAGATTACAGAGACACTATAAACATGTACAGACTGCAACTTCTAAATGCATGCCAGGTAAGATTTTGTTTGTTTGTTTTTTAATCAAAGGTAACTAGTACCCATTTCTTTTGTACTTGCGCTCTCCGTCGATGAGGTGCCGATGGATCTTGGGTTGCCCCCACCCCCGTCATTGAGAAAAGTTATATTACGCAGTTATGTTATGCATTGAGAAAGTTATGTTACGTATCGACCTGAGGAAATCTGGATAAAGTAACGAGTAAGAAAGCAATTGACTTGAACAAAAGGTATTGGCCGGATTCAAACCAGAGACCTCGCACCAACCGAGAACAATCACCTGCTGGTAACATTTACAATTTGTCACAGTTGTCTCTGCCTGAAGAGCGCGGGGATTGATGGGAAAGAAGAAGCGTTGAATTAGTTACCTTCTCGTCTCTCTCCTTTTTCAAGATTTTAATAAAAGAAGGCTGAGGGCGAGTAAGTCTGCAAACATCAGCATTTCCAAATTTTTTGCGGTCGATGGTTAAACAAGCGGCTTTTTGTAAGCAAAATGTATAGTGTTTTATAACACTTGTGTTACTTTTTTCAGCTTGAAATGGACCCTCAGATTCAGGAAGTTCTTCAAATGATCATCAGGTTACGAAGCAGTGAACAGTTTTGCTGAAAGAATTGCCTGCTCTATATAAGCTAAGAAAGGTTCCAAGCCATATAAATAAGGACCTGAAATAATTCCTAAGTAGAAATAATTCTAGTCAGTTCAAATGAGCTTTGCAATGAAAGAAGCATTTATTATACCAAATTCTTGACAGTTTATGCACAGAGAACTTAGTCTAGATCAGATAGTGTCATATATTTAATTATTTTTAAGAATTATTCTAGTGTACGGTTCAAAATCATCATAATCTGATCAGAAAATAGGGCGATTTTCTATCGTTTCTCGTTAACGATCCAAAATGGCTTTTAACTAGTTTTGCCTTAACACGCCCAAGCTGTGATTAGTTCACCCTCTTAACCCATCCAGATGTGAACTGAAAACCAGTTGCGACGTTTTAAAAATCACATAAGTTCTCCTACGCTTGGCGGCAATTTTTCGCGAATCTTTCATTGTCTGTTTTGATCTTACCTTTTTCTGATTTTTTCATCAAAAATCGCTCTACCTCTGCATCTAACAAACCGGATTTAGTATCAAAGCCCGCAAGATTATTTTTGCAAGTTTTTATCAAGGAGGGCTTTGCAGAGTGGGGGCTCGACGAAATTTTAGGCGGAGCGGAATTTTTCCTCTCCTTCGCGGCTCCGTCGTTCAACGCAGCATAGCACTGTAAATCCACGCGAGCAGGCAGTTACAAGCTTAGTTTTAGTTTAGAGGCTAGCTATATGATAAAACGAAGACACATCTGTTTCAAATACTAGCGCTTTTGTACTGGCTATATGATTTTCAAAAGAGGAGGCACCTGTACAGAAGAGTTTTATATTTCTAGTTTTCAACCATCTCAATCGGTGGAATTAGTACTTTGTAAAATATTTCCTAACTTTATTTTAGAGCAAATTTTTCATTTGAACGATTGTGCGGATTTTGTATTTACTAATCTCTTGTACATTACAAGGCAACTGACCTGTTGTTTTAAGGTATTTATATTTTTTTATAAATAGTCCTTCTTAAGTTATGAGGTGTACTGTATGAATGAATTGTTCGTAGGTTTGGTATATTGAGTTGCCATACACGCTATCCATAGTCTGTCAAACTTCCTCTCAGCCCATAACAGTTCTAAATCCACTTTCCCGCCTGTCTTGCCAAACAATGTAACAATGTTGTTCGCGTACACATAGCGTAAAAAAAGGAATCATTGTGGGGATCCGAGATGGAAATATCTCTCTTAATATGGTATGAACAGTGACGTCTGAGTCCGAAAAAATCAGCCAAAAAATTGGCGTCGAAAGAGGAATCGACTGAGTTTTATTGACACTCACGAACGAAACAAAGGAAAAAATTTCCTTTGTACCCTTGGGCACACATCGGCTAGCCTCACCCATGCTTAGTCGCTAGGTAGTGGCTATCGGTATTAGATAACAAACTTACTTGATTATCAGTAGAGTCTTCTAGGTACTTTATTTCCCTCCAGGTGTATCTAAGGAATTAGACAGAAAGCCTTTGATTACTAACGGTTTCTTCTCGACATTCGTTCAGCAGTTTCAGTGTATGAATGAAAACTCCCTCCCCTTTCACTGCGCGGGCGAGGTTAGAACTTGCGGTTTCACCTGAAACTCTGAAAGCCCAGACTGGTTAATGATTTCACAAATGCGCGAGCTGGAATACAAGGAAAAATATTTATGAGGCATAGCCTCAATGTTAGCTCATGTGTACCCTGTGTACCCTGTGTACTCAATG